GCTCGGCTTCGTAAAGGTGGACAAACCAGAATAGGTTCTTTTTTCACTTCTTCAGTCTTAGCCACCACTGGTTCTTTCTCTTTCCTGAATCGAGACCAAAACTCTCTTCGCGCCGCCCCTGCGACCATCCCCGGCCGACACTTTCCTACAAGGCCAGGTACAAAGAGCGCCGTCATGTTCAAGGAGAAGCGGGTGCCAGAACTCCTCCTTCTTTCTCTCTTGAAACCAATTTCATAAATTATATTTTCCCAGAAAACTGTTCATTTCACCCATGGTTTTACATTTCGGACTGGAGTAGTATATTACTTTCTGAGTTTCTTCTTTGTCTGCAATATAGTTTCCCTTCATTTGTTTTTTGAGCTTTTTTGTTTATTAGACTGGCTGCTTTAAAAAAAAAAAAAATCAGCTCCTGGATTTACTTTTTTCCTGGCTTCGGGCTCATTAATTTCTGCCTTTTACCTTTCTAAACTCTGCTTTAGTTTCAACCGGAGACCAGTCTTTTTCCGTCTACATTAGTTAGTATGTTTATTTGGTAATGTAGGTGCTTAAGGCTGTACCCTCGTTTTAGGAGCATCCTATCATCTTTTATGTAGCTTCCCATCACTTTTAATTTCTAACTATTCTGCAGCTGTGGCTTTTTCTCTTTCGTTTCAAAGGTTGCTTAGGAGAAATGTTTGGGCATCTGAATAGTAGGATTTTTTTAATGTTTGAATTTAATAAATCCTAATAAAGCTTTATTGTTTTGTAACCAGGTGTCTATATTTGTGGACTTTCTGGTTGAGGCTTGGCTGACTATAAACCTGCAGGTGTACCTCAAAGAGCCTGTCCTGTTGTGTTTGTCTGTGTGCCTGTCTTTGTGCCGGCGCCTTAGTCTTCGCTGGCATGGCCTCCAAATGGGATTTTCATCAGGGGCGTGGTGCTCTGGTTTTCTTCGCGCCCAGGATTCCTGCAGCACTTGAGTCTTTCATGGTTCCATGTGAATTTAAGCTTGGTTTTCTGTTTCTATGAAAAATTTCATTGGTATTTTGATGAGGGTTTCATGGATCCTGAGGATTGCTTTGGATGGCATAGACATTTTAACACTATCCATTCGTTACGCCCTGAATAAAAGATATCTTCCTATATATTTGTGTCTCATTAATGTTTTATAGCTTTTAGTATAGAGAGATACTTCACCTCCTTTTTTTTTTTTTTTTTTCGGTGGAAGCGGGATTGAACTCAGGCCCTGCGCTTGCCAGGCAAGCACTTATTCCATTGGGCCATCTCCCCAGCCCACTTTACTTCCTTTCAGTTCATTCCAAGGTACTTGGTTCTTTTTGCTGCTCTTGCGGTTGGGATTCCTTCCTTTATTCTTGTCTCCTCGTTTAGCCTGGGCAGGCTCTTGAGCGGACAGCAAGGCTCTGTGGACAGGGTATTGTTGGGTCTTGCTTTTGACCTATTTTGCCACCTTGTGTCTTTTGATTCAGATATTTAATGCAGTTATATTTAAAGTAATTATTGATAGATAAGAACTTACTACTGTTGTTTTATTCACTGTTTTCTGGGTTTTGGTTACTTTGTTTTTTCTTCTCTTCCTAGCTTCCTGTGTAGATTCTGTGGTGCTTGGTTTACAGTGGCACACCCTATTCTCTTCGCTTTACGCCTTATGAATCTGTGTTTTCACTCGCACACATCTTACTTCATTCATGTCACAGTTTGTATATTTTCATAACATATACACATTAGCATGTTTTTGTAGGTATGTTTTTTAATGCCAAATTTTAGCATTTGTACAAGTAAAAGCTTTCTGTATCTTCGTAGTATCTCCACAGCCCTTACTATGTAACAGTGTTCCAAAAGTATTTTGGAGGCTGAGGCTGGAGGATTGTTACAGTTTTTTTTTTCAGAACCTGGGACTGAACTCAGGCCCTTGCGCTTGCCAGGGAAGCGCTTACTCCACTGAGCCATCTCCCTGGCCCCAGATGGTTGCAAGTTTGAGACTAGCCTGGGCTACAAAGTGAGCTCACAGACTGTCTAAAGTAGAAAGACCCTGTCAGTAGGGGCAGGGAGGTAGCTCAGTGGAATAAGTGTTTGCCTGGCAAGTGCAAGGTCCTAATTTCGATCCCTGGGACACCAAAAAAAAAAAAAGTTTCTGTGTGCCGACTATACCAGGAGGTTGGTATTTTCATGCTTTCACGTTACTATTTACATCTTCTAATTTCAACTTTAAAAATTCCCTTTGGTACTTCTTACACAGCTGCTTGGTTGGTAGCAAACTGCCTTGCTTTTGTTTGCCCGAGAAAGTCTATGTTTACCTCCACTCCTGAGGAGCAGCTTTGCTGGGGCGCAGTGGTGGTTGGCAGGCAGTCCTTGCGCCTCAGTGCTGTGCGTTTGTCACTCCAGCATCCGGCCCGCAGGGTTCTCTTGAGAAACCACAGGTGGAGCGTGGAGTTTCTGTGCAGTGACAAGGTGGCTTTTGTCTTGCTGCTTTCCAAAGTATTGAGCTTCGACTTTTGCTAATTCAGTTGTCATATTCTCTGTGTGATGCCCCTGGGGCTGGGTCTATTAGAAGATCTTTGTGCTTCTGAGTCTGAAGTAGGGCTTTCTATCATTCTTTGTTTAATCTTTCTGTCCTTTCCTTCTCTTTCTTGGACTCCGTGATGCATACATTAGTTTGCTTCAGGATGGCCAGGACTTTCCTCATGCCCTTTAATCTTTTTTTTTTTTTTCTTCTTCTTTTCTTCTCTGAGTAAATAATTTCACATAACCTATCTTTGAATTCACAAGTTTCTGTTCTACCTCGCTGTGTTGTCTGTGGAAGCTCTCTATTATATTTTTCGTATCATTCATGGTATTCACTTCCAAGATTTCTGTTTAGTTCTTATTTCAGGATATGTATTTCTGGGGGCCAGAGAAATGGCTCAGTGGAATAAGCACTTCCCTGGCAAGTGCAAGGGCCTGAGTTCAATCCCCGGCTCCGCAAAAAAAAAAAAAAAAGGCTATGCATTTCTGGACCTGGGAGCTAGCTCAGTGACTTAAGCGCCTGCCTGGCAAGTGCAAGGGCCTGAGTTCAATCCCCGGCTCCGCAAAAAAAAAAAAAAAAGGCTATGCATTTCTGGACCTGGGAGCTAGCTCAGTGACTTAAGCGCCTGCCTGGCAAGTGCAAGGGCCTGAGTTCAGTCCCCGATACCAAAAATAAATAAAGAAAATGATATGTATTTCTTTGTGGCTCTTCTCATTTTATGTTCTCTTATATGTTCACATATTCTTTTCCCGATTCCATTTTCTGGGATCACCTGAGGCTTGCAAGTGTCGCGTCTCAAGCACTAGTGTCAGCCCTTCGCTGAGCGTATGTAGGCCACCGTGTCTCCCAGATTGGGTTCTCTCAGTAGCGTTCCATTTCCCTGGATTTTTGTGTTCCGTAAGGTCTTCCTGTACTGTCTTCACATCTGCAGGACTAGCTGCCCTCTGCGGTTTCACTGAGGTTCAAGACAGGAAGCCCACCTCAGGTGGGCTGGGTGAGGCTCAGGCACCTTCCAACCTTCCCCTGGAGGTGCTCACTGTCTTCGTCCTCCTCCCACTGTTATGCCATCTCTCGAGTCTGGAGAGCCAGGCTGGACGCAGAGTACCCTTGTGCGGTGTCTAAGAGGAGCAATCCCCAGCCGGCAGAGTTGCACCAGGTGTTGCGTGTGTTCATGCGCAACGTGCAGGGGGTTGTGCAAGCCACCGTCGGGGAGGGGCGCAGGCCACGGGTGAGCAGCATGAAACTGCTCCACAGCTTTGCGTTTCTCAGACTCACACAATAGTCGTGTGCATGTTGGCATTAATGCT